GGGGGGGGGGTTAATCACAGGTCTTAGTGAATGGACAATACATTAATGCAAATACAGCCAGTGATGTTCAAAGTATAAAACTAAACGACCTTTGCTCCCCGCTGCAGGTGTCTTCCACTTTCTATATGTCCCCACACAAAAAGGGTCTGACTTCAGCACGTGCAGCAGGGTTTTCTCTAAGCCTGCCTCTATAAAGACCAATAACTAACTACACAATACGAAACTCTACCAATACACCAAAAAAAATCCCAGACCCAGAGACTGTGATCAACCATTTTCCATTTGCCACACCAACATTTGGGGTTGTGTGTTGTAGTGTGGCAAAGGTCAAATTGCTGCAAGCCAAATAAATGTCAGATGTCCATCAATCTGATAACACTCAGTCGTCTGTGAAACAGGAGCATAGTGTTTTCAACTTCTTCAACATGGTTACACATGTCTAACACTGAGGTCTAAAGATCACACTCAGCACGACGGTAAGCAGAAGTCCTAAACCAGCACTATCTTTCTTTAAAAACAGAGTCTGTCACAGGTAATATAAATACTCATAACATTGTTAATGAGAAAGAAAAATAAATTGGTTGTAAAGGTGCATATAATTCACTATAAACTCAAAAAAATCAGATTTGTTCCAAATTGTCCATAAAAAATTCAAAGCTACTGTATGAAAGAGGAATACAATAAATTAGATTAATAGATTTAACAGTGGTAATAATCAAGTGCATAAAAGCCGACCACGATAACAAGTGGCACTTCAACCAAGAAGGCCATTAAGGGCTTTTGTGATAAAAAGTTCTGACCTGCCTCTGAATTCAGAGTGATTAAAACAATCGTAATTAAATATTAGATTTATTAAGCTGCTCTACGTACTTATATTCCTGAAAAGCCTTTTGAAACGCTGCACACACACACACACACACACACACACACACACACACACACACACACACACACACACACACACACACACACACACACACACACACACACAATAATTACAGCCTCTTGTTGAGGAGTGCATATTGATGCTGCATATTACCTACTAGTGCAGTCTGAGAATACTGCAGCGATGGCACAGATATTCACCAGCGTTATGGCTTGAATCAACACATTGTCTGTAGAGTACCTACAGACAGAATAGACTAATTCAAATTTCAAAAAGGAAACGATGCTGTTCAAAGGGAAAGGAGAAATTCATAGGCATCCGAGAGGGAAAGTAAACAAAGAATGCCAGGTTCATGACGCAACACTGTCCGCATTTATAACAAATCACACAACCCGATGATGCATTCTCTTTGACTGTTCAGGTTTTCTTTGTCTGGGTCAGTAGGGCATGTGATGTTAAAATCTTAAATCTGTTCCTCCCGTCTGCCGGTGTCTTGCACACACTGTGGGAAAACCCTCGGTGAGCAGCAGCCGGGGCACGGCCGGCGCTCCCTCTAATGCCGCCGCCCGCTGACCTTGAGAGTGCCGCGCCGTTGCCTCCTTTTGACAACATGATAAATCGCTCAATCAGAGACCAGGCCTGACGCCACCCCACACATCAGAAATGCGCCGAGGGGAGCAAGCCGGGAAGGGGATGCCGTCTCATCGAGTGCCAGAAGTGATGGTGTGAAAATGCACAATGTCACTGAGTGTGTTTTGTTATGTGCCTGTTCGGTGAAGGGAGAAGACAGGGAAGCGAGGGAGTTGATGAAATGATTACATAGTGGCAGAGAGGAGGAAGGGGGCCTCGTGTTGAACAGCTGGCAGGAACCATCGTTGGTTAACACAGTTTTACAATGCCCAGCAGAGTCCAGAGTAAAGAGCGATGAAGAACAGAGAAATGCTCTTCCTCCATCCATAGCCTTGCTCATTGTTTGCCACAGAAGCACACCATGTCATCTTGCTTATGCTGCATGCCACCTGAGGATTTACTCGATGGACACAAGGGAAAAACGACTGACGATCAATGATGGGGATGCAACGATTTATCGATCGAACATTGGCCGATATTTCGCTGTCATTTGCCTCACACTAAATAGGGCGACATTCCATAATGTTTATCACATCAATTTTGCGACGGCTAAATGCTGGGTTGTTTTTTGTGGTTGGACTCTGATACCTGTTACCAGCTGCTGATTTGGAGAAGAATCTTGTGGCTTCATTCAACTCTGGCATGATGTCAGAGGGTAACAGTGGTCGTGCACAGGTGTGACGTTTTTATAAATACTAATACAAGTAAAATATGATGTCCCTGTCTTGGGGAAATATCAGCAACAAGTAGGTCAGAATCTTCTGTAGGCAAAACAGAAGAGTTTCAAAGATAGCCCTTTTTATATTTCTAATCCCTTTTACATGTAATTACAGTATAAGTGTTTTATGTAAATACTGATTTTTTTTCCTTATCGAGTAAGTAGTTGTAAAGCAGCCTCAAAACAGCTCTTAAATCAGTTCATTTTTAAGAAAACATATTTTTTATTTGAAAGTATAAATATAAAAGACAGTTTCAAAAATGTGTATGATTAAATGTGTGCTCATTTGAACATTATAATTAAGATGTCTTTGTTCCCATTACACAAAGGGTAATACAAATAAAAAATAAAAACAAGATCTTGTGTCAGTTGGAGATTAAAGAATATATTGCTATGAAACCTTAAAAAACGAAATAAAGATTTGAGTGTGCTTCCTGTCATTGCATAAATCAACCAAGGATAAGCAGGGCACCCACAAGTATTGCATATTTGATGGAACATGTGTTCAACATGTGGTGTTAATAGCAGCCCAGATTTTCTCTTTTGCCAGCCGCATGAAAGCGCCAGCGCAGCAATTACATACATATCGACATGCTTCAGTGGCAATAAGCAGTCGTATGCGCAGCGCTTCATATCTTCCCCCTCAATCGCATTTCTCCTTCCTGTCACTGCTTTTCTCATCCTGCTCATTAATTATCCCGGAGCGGAGTTGGTTGCGAGGTTCAGAGAGCAGCGCTTGTCTGAATTTAATCTCTCCTTCGACTTCTTATGTTTCCTGGGCCTCATTCTTCCTTTACTTTCATCTAAAATCAAACATTTTCCACTTATTGTTCACTTCCGGTTCCCACATACATCCCCCAAGACCCCTGTTATTAATTCTGCACAAAACAACTCTTTTGTAATTAAAGAATCTGTACATTTAAATAGACCACTTCATCCACATCCATTGTAACAATATGTGAGAATCACCTTCTTTTTGCTGAGTCACGACAGGTGTCTGGGTCTCTTTAGTGTAGGACACAGTCTCACGTGGAGGGAAGTCCACTTGTGTGACTTTGGCCATTCCCAGTTTTGGAGTTCCTCGCCTAAAATCACAGAAAAACTCAAACTTTGCACAGCAAAACCAAAACCATACAAAGCATCTGCTATTATTGTTCTTATATTTTCTTGTACAACAGTTTTCACGTATTCTTAGCAAGTGGAAAAAAAGTAAGTAAGCAAATGAGTGTTTCATGGGATGGCATAGATTGCAGATTAGTGTTACAACCCGTGTGAATCAATTCAAAGGTTTTGTCTGAGCACTCTTGCGTGCAGACTTTGCCGACTTGTTTCCTGGCCTGCATTAACCAAATAATGACTTTGAAAGACAAAGTACTCATGCCATAGATTGAGAGAAGGGAAAATGACCAGGAAAGGAGAGAAGAGAGTGTCCAGTACCCCAGCTCAGAATCAGAGTGAAGTTGAAGAGTGGACGGGTCAGAGTCCCAGTGCAGAGTCCTGGTTAGTGTCACAGCAACAAGGCAGCATTAGTGAGAGAGACAAGCGGGCACACATGAGGAGAGGAAATAAAGTTAGCATTATGGCACACAACATGCTGATTGGATCCAAGGTAACTAAACACACTTGAAACTTTTTTGTTTTTCAGTTCAAAAATAAATCTGCCTGCACGAAGCTCAGATATGTAAGAATGTCTGCTTAAAATGCACGGACACACAGCCCCTCAGAGTGAGATGACACAGGGTGTAATGTGCAGCCTGCGGGGCTGATACAGCCTGAACTGTGTCACACCAAAGGCTCTGAGTGTGTTGCAGACAGAGAGTGAGGGAGAGAGAGAGAGAACCCTCAGGGAGAAAACATGACCTCCATGTGTGTAGGAAATGGCCATGCTGGTGAGGGAAATGAGTCAACACGTAGGGGGAACAGCTCCCTCGGCCTGATGGGACACTGGGGGAGCTTGAGTTTCAGCCCAGGGAAGGGGCTCTAATTAGGGGTTAAGAAGTCCCCCAGGCATCACAGCAGCCTGCTGTTTTATTGTTAATTTAGGATCGTCCTAATTCAACGGCACACAAATTAAATAAACATGCACTCAGTTGGTATAAACTCGTCATCATTCACTGTAATGGTATGAGACTTCCTAAAGGATTGTAGCTCAGTCGTGCTCAGCGGAATCAAGCTTTAAATATATTCATAGCCTTTGTCTGGAGTTGAAAGTGATGCAAAGCGAAAACAACTAATATGCTGTTCAACACATCTGCAATGTATAAGCTGCTTGAGAGGCGGTGACAAGGACGCTGACATCACATTCTTGCTGGCATAAGCATAACTGAGCACATAAAGTAACACAAATATTTCTTTAAGATGACATATAAAGCTCAACAAAGCACCAAACATAAAAAAAATGTGCCTTAGGTGGAGATAAAGCAATTAATCACTCATTAATAATGATGTTTGCATTGTTTCCACACTTGTAATGTACTGTACTAGAATGTGAGGAAAGAATGTTATTACTCAAACTGTTGCTGAGAAATGCGTGTGTGTGTGTGTGTGTGTGTGTGTGTGTGTGTGTGTACCTGGGTCCCACGGCTCCATCAGAGTCTTGGCTCCCTGCCTCACTCGGTGTGCCCGCCGATTTGGGAGTTGGCGAGATGGGAGGAGGGACTACATGGAGAGACAGACAATAATCATCTGTTACAGAACCAGGACACTAAGCTTTTCACAAGAGAGGACAAATAAATGTATGCTGAATGTGTCAATCTTAATGTAGATCTCGACATCCTCGATATCAGTGACCAAGAGCTGTATTTGAAATAAAAGCTTTAACAACACTATGAGACCTAGTTTGCCTTTATTTATGAATATTTAAAATTATACAATAATTTCGAAAAAGAGACATAAAACTCTGATGTTTGTCCGTCTCTGGTTCTCGTGTGTCTGCATCCTGTGAGACTCTTGAAGATTTTATTATGGATCTCTTCTGCCACCTGCTGTTAGCGACGAGTCAGTGCTCTAACAATCTCCCTCTGAATGAACTGAAAAAATATTTAGGATGTATACACAGGTATATTATTTACAAGTAGTTGTGAGTAAGGTTGCAGTTATACATTAAATACGTGTTTTCCCTTTTTTCCAATTGGTTAGTATGTGTCTTTATCACATTTCTGAGAACGAAAATCTTAACAATTCAACAAAGATTATTCCAATGAGACATTGACACGTTATACTCTGTCCCTTGTGAACAGCATGAAAACAAGCACAACATATTCTGGTGTTGGACCCCAATTATGAAAAAGATAATAATTACTACTACCGATCAGACTATTATGGAAAATAATATTCCAGTAATGTGCACGAGAACACTGATGTTGTAAACATGCAAGTGGCTGTGTAAAAGAAATCCCCCTAAAACAGAAAAATTGAATATAAGTTTGAAAGATAATTTAGTCAATGACTGTTTAAATATTTACATTTATCCCGTGGTTGTTTCTGAGCCTTTCAGTCTGGTCTTTAACAATTCAAACATAGGATTAGCTGTACTGAGGTCAGCTGACTGGCCAGTAAAGAACATTCCACTGTTTAGCTATCATATATCTGTTGTTATAAATCATAATCCTACTTACTGACATAGAATAATAAATGCAATACATGTGAACACTCTCAAACCCCAGTCAAAGAGCCAAATAACGGTGTAGGCCCTTCCTATAAAATAATTGCAATGTCTGTGAGATATAATGGAAAATTAGGTACTGTAAATGATTTGTTTGTAAAAAAGGTATTAAAGATTATATATGAAACAGGATGTATGAGAGTACAATCCATCAAGTAATAGAATACATACCAGCAGGAGTATCTTGGGTTATGCCCATACTCTGTAGCATAGCCTCCGTCTCACGTCTTTTTTTCTCCAGGTCTGTATCATCCTGGTGATTTGCAGCATCTTTCAATTGGTCCGCCTGGAAACAGATCAAGGCATCAACCATTAATGCAATTCTCTAAATACCCACCTTACATTACAGATCAAAAAGTGTGAATACCTTCAACTTGTTGATGTGTTCTAATTTCTAGCTCTGTGAGACTTGTGTACATTTTAAAAACCAACTACCTCACTAATTTGCATTGCAATTAAAAGGTACTGCCGGATTGTTATTGCAAATAATGTCCAAAAATAGAAAATGGCAAGTGCAGTAACACTTCAAATGAAGAAGACGCCCAAAGAATTGATGTAATGTAATGCCTATGAACAAAGAACAACCTTGTGTATATGTAAATGTTTGTGCCAAAGATTTAACTTGTCAATAACCTTGTGTTGGAGGTGTAGATTGTTTCTACCTTTTCAAGACCATTAGGCAATGTGGAAAGGTTTTATAAAGCTTATCCCTATCTAAGACATTTATTTTGTTACGAATAGTGGCCTTAAAATATATCTTGCAGCATGTAGATGACCAAAAAACAATCACACAAATTAAGTGTAGCAGGTAATGAATTTGCTTTTGAATTGAAACGAGATGTTGCAGTGATCACACTGAGCCACTAAGGTTTTGTTGCGATTTATTCTACATACTAATTTTTACATTTAATACCAGAGAACACTCGAAGAATTTACAAAATATTAAACATACCGCTTGCTTCTTGCGCTCCTCCTCCTTCCTTTTCTTCTCCTCTCTGATTTGAGCCAGGCGTTGCTTCTTCCTTTCAAGCTCTGCTTTCAGCTCACTTTTGTCAGACATGATGCCACGGCTGTGAACAAACAACATATTCTGGTTTGCCTTTGTGTTCCTGTCACAGAGGTGATCTCTGGGCTCATAGATCTCGGCCTCCGTTACGGGTTGTTTAGCTTTAGTGTTGTTGAAAAGTGTTCAAGAAATCTGAGAGCAGACATTTCACGAGCTCACAGAAACAGCCTGAGTGCGAGGAGAAGGTTTTAAGCTGGAACACAGGAAATCTGTAAGCAGCAATATATCTGAGTGCAAGCGTACAGTTTGAGCAGAAGCAGAGCAAATCTAAGTGCAAGTGTAATACACATGTATCAGGAACCAATACCCCTAAAGCTTTGGAGCCATGGCAGGTGATAAACAGCATCGGAGACGGGCCCTATGCAGCAAACAACGCCCTTGGATGGGTAGTGAACGGGCCGAAAAGGACNTTATAGCCTGATATATGATAGCTAACTTCACAATGTTGTGATGTGACGTTAGCTAACATTCTGTAGCTAACGCCGGTCACTCACCAAGATAGCTGCCCATGGTTCTCCTCACACCACAGCTCAATTTCTCTCCGATGGCCGTTATTTCTTCTAATCCTTGGCTGCTCCTGGTCTCTTGGACACCGAGCAGGCTCATAATTATAAGGTTGTGGTCCGTCATATGCATTTGAATATTCATGTTCAACTTCTTCTGTGTCTTCTGTGTCGAAACTAGCATTTGGATCCATTCTTATTAATACGTTACACCGGGCGCTCTCCCCCTTGTTTCCCCCATGTTACGTCACACGCGGGAGGTCACGTGCCGAGGCTTTTTTATGCGGAAGTGAACATTTCTTACAAAAACGACGCCAGATGTCACTGTAGTATATATTTCTGTATATTTTTTTGAAAATCTAGTGTATTCATCATTTTCTTACACATTTATTCACAGGTGTCTTTAACCTGGAAGTTGCTCTTTAAATGTTTCCATTTTAAGCTTTGTTAGTTAGTTAGTTAGTTAGTTTCGTGACGGACTTAATGTAACAGTTGTAACGGTTCTCAGACGCAGAGGGATACTGACTTGTGAAAAGTAAGTACAATTATTCCCTGGATATACGCTCATTATATCACGGCTAAGAAACATCAGATTGCTTGATTTGACTTGTCCGTTTTATAAACATATACTAACTGTGCTTACCCCCCCCCCCCAAAAAAAAAAGTTTTACGGTGAAGTACATGTTATGTTATAAGCCGTGGAGGGCGGGAGTTTATAAACCAAAGAGTAACCGCCCTTAGGGGATGCTGTAATAAGTAAAGCGAACGTACCCGCAAGGACACCTGGCCTCCTATTGGTTGAGGGATTTTGACAGGATTGTTGCACAAAAGTTCCGAGCGCGCACAGAATAAATTTGAGAGCAGAACAAATCTGTAAGCAGCAATATATCTGAGTGCAAGTGTACAGTTTGAGCAGAAGCAGAGCAAATCTAAGTGCAAGCAGGCACTATTTGAGTGCGAGGACAGGGTTTGTGGGAAAGAAATCAATAAAGTATGCTCTCACATTTAAATACCACGTTCTTGAATAAAGATAGGGAATAACTCCCATAATAACTGACATAACTATTAACTTGGACACGCTAGAATGTTATCATTAATATTTACATTAAAACATTCCTTTGACACTTATAACATTACTTTGCAAGGTAAGCACTACCACACACACACACAGATAGATAGCAGGGTTGTCCGGCTGGACCGGCTCCGTTTGAGATCGCGGTCGTTTACGCTGACTTGTGAGAAATCTTTCCATTTTCGATCTGTGTTCACATACTGAGAATTATAACAACATTAGCCAAGTAACAGTTTGCGCTTTAACTTACAACGACATGTGTGGTGGAATGTATATTTATTCACCCTGTACGTAAGTACAAATCTGAGGTACTTGTACTTAAGTAGCCTATTTAAATGGAATGCTACTCTATACTTCACAAGTAATGAGGTAAATATTGTACTTTTTACTGTATTTCAATTGTCTGACAGTTACTATTCAGATAACAATTTGTCATACATTTGTATGTCCAGTGAAAAACAATGTGTTTCCAGCTGTATTTTTTAAGATAAATAAACTATTTAAAACCCCCTTTTAAAAAGCTGGGAAAAAAGCATTATCAGAAAGCTCTTCAACTATAATGTATTGATGTAAACCATACACAAAAGGGCACAATACATGCTTTTAATACATTTAGCTGATAACACTTTTACGCTGTTGTATCAGTACTTTCACCTTAATCAAGCATCTCAATACTTTTCCAACCACCAGAACTGAAAAATAGTGGGTTCAGGAAACAAAATGCTTCCTATTATTAGTCCACCGTCTCCTGACAGATGATGCTCTCAGCTTCAGTACCACCTTGCACAGCAGTGGAGACAGCTAGCTAAAATACCTAACATAGCATGACCATCCAGGAGTGTTTTATGTCATCTCTGCAGCTCAGTAAGTCAAACATCCTTGTTTATTGGAGACAAACACTCTCAGTTACATGTAACTCGGTTACAACCACAGTCCGGCTGGCTAGTCATTGTCAGCCAGCTAACAGAGAGCCCCACCCTTAGCATGGGGCTATCCTGTCCGCTTTAGTCACTTGTCTCTGACTTATATCGTAAGTTGTAAACGCGTTCAAACAACCACCTTGCTCCATTATATGTTTTATTGAACAAATCCCATCGTAGTTTCATATAAGACACTGATTGTTAGAATCCAATCGGCCTGTACCGAAGCTAGCCTTCCTTGTTATGAATGGCTAAAAGGCTAGCTTAGCCATCTTTGTTGTACAAGGTTCAGTCAATTGAAATTAATATCACACATAGTTATGTCCTTTATTGCATTAAAATAAAACGTTTTCGGCTCACATAAAATGTGACTTGCACAATCTAACCCACTATTTGTGTTAAAAGATGCTTTAAAGTTAGCTTTATTTGTTAGCAGCTAGCTACATCAGTGGACAGGTCCTCAGTGATGTCATGCGCTTTCAACTGACCGCACAATGAACAGGCGAGTTGGGCTACAAACGAAGCATTGAATACAAAATAAATACAAGCGTGTGATACACCAGCTAACATGAAATGTATGTGTATATTACAAACCTTTAATCAGGTTTTCTACCTGACACCAGATGCCAAAGAACGAGCCAAAACAAACGGGCTGCCAACAAACTACGGATGCTGGGAAGAGCCAAAAAGACGCACTTCGCTTTTACGTAGCTGTGTTGCTGGCATCCGAGGTCAAAGCAAAGAGGAATCATGTTTGTGAGCATAAAATGCCTCCTAATGAATTAAGCAGCAGGGTCTTAAACAGTTTAGAAACATATTTGGTGCGACACCCGGAAAACAATATTTACATGTTTGTTGTTTTCATCAGCTCTGCTTAACTTAAATTTAAAATTAATGTAGTAAAATTATATTTGAAAAGCTTTTACAGAACAGCAACACAAACAGTAATGGACAGTGTTGTAACATATACATATTTATTATAAAAAAATGTAGAAAGTTTTTGAACATATTTTAAAAAATCTAAATATCATAATACAACAGAATTAGGAACATTATGCGTTGTTGTACAGTGTATTCCCAGATTATCTCAATCGTAAAAAGCTCACCATTATTTACATATGCTTATAACAAATGTAATTAAACAACAAATACCAAAAAAATGAAATCTGTAAAATAGAAAATATGATATCTTAATTTTTGCTTAAGTGTGAACACATAGGCTACATTCAACACTGGATAAAGTACCCAGTCTTGAGTCAGTTATTTACTAATCAGTTAGGCTGATCATCTAATTTGCAACTCCTCTTCCTGACATCCCCACAGGTCTCCTCATTAGGTACATCAGATAGCTGAGACAAGGCTGGACCAACTTTGCTGCTGTCCTCAACTCCCCCGTCAGTATGCAGAGTATGCAAGATCTGTTCACTGGGGCGTTTCCAAGACTTTCGAGTGGCAATCCAGAGGATTAGTGCTCCAAAAACCACGAGGAGGAGTCCCAGGACGTTCACAAAGATTGCCTCTGGGGGAGAGTCCTTGTACTTTGGGTCGCTCCTTAGAAAGAAAGTACAAAAAATAAAGTTATGCACACTCTTAAGCAGCATTAGTACTGTGCAACTGGTTTAAAAGCTTGTATTCCTTTTCAAAATACTTACAGACTAAAAATGAGTTTCTCTGTGATGCCCATGAGTGCCACAGCTATTATGCTGGTGAAAAGGAAAAGACCTCCGTAGACATGCAGGGGCATAAACGCTGCTCTCCAGGATGCAGGTGTAAATGGCATCAAGTACATGCCAACTCCAAGAACAAGCTGCTCATTGAAGGAGAAAAAACATCCTCTTATCAGATAACACACTAAAAAGGACTTTTGTTCACGATGACTTGGCATTTTAGAGAAGGTCAAGTGTTTTTTTCCCAGTGTGTTAGTAAACCTGCTTATGTGTTGTTTTGAACCAACCCTTAGCTCCATAAAAGAAAGAGGTACAAAATATAACAGTGGTTTTAACAATAAAGCTCATTTAGGATATGCAAAAGGCCAAACTGTGTATTATTTATAGCAGCAATATAAATACTGCTAAATGAAACCAGGAGCATTTGTTTGTAGACATTTTTCAATATTTTCTGACATTTTATGGACCAAACTAATAATCCTGATGAATCAATAAACATTAGTTGCAGCCATATTTACCTGCAGACCGTACAGTATCACAGCTGCGAGGCCCACCCAGCTGTGCAGGCTGTACATGTTGGGGATTTTGGCAGCATTGTGGAAGTCAAAAACTGCCACCATTGATACGACAGCTAGGGTGAAGGCTAGTAAATTCAAGCCAGCATGGATAAACTTCATCATCAGTTTACTGCGATGCCAGGTCCAGGGGATTCTGTAGACTATGATGGCTGCAAGAGGAAGTTACTGTGTCATTCTTGATTCAACAATGAAACAACATTGGACACACTTGTTTCACTTTAAAAATTGGCATATCTTCCATTACAATGTTTAAGTAAAGTTTTCATGTACAGTCACGTATTAAAGTTTGTTTGGACAGGGTTGGTGATAGTGAACACTTTAAGAAACTACAGAAAGCATTAGGGCCAGACTTAGGAGAAACACCTAAGGGGTAAAGATCTTTATTTTATAATTTTAGAAATAAAGTTGAAATGTTGGGGAACATTTTTTGGAATGTTAAGAATAAAGAAGAGATACCATTTTGGGAATTAAATCCAATTTGGAAGATTATGTCAAAATGTATAGAATAAAAATCCAACTCTTCTCTTCTTCAAGTTTTCTATCCACAAACAAGTTATTCTCAATAATTATACTTTATTCTCCAAATAAATGTTTAAAAAAAGTCTAACTCCTCATTGTTCCTTCCTTATGCATAGCCCTTATACTTTTCCATAGAAAGCACTATTGTCATTATATTAATGACTTTTAAGGTCATGTTTTTGTGAGGTGTAAAGTTCATGCTTCCATGAGGGTCATATTGCTTAAGATATATTATCAGAATAAACTCATAATTGACTTCCTTAACATCACATACTCCATTTGTGGATGCTACAGTATAAACCTACAAATGAAGTTGAAATTAATTAATCTAACGCAATTTCAGTCATGTTTTTTTAAATATATAAACAGTCAGTGGTAACCTCCCCCTCAGGTCGTTGGATAAGCGAGTCTTACGCAAATTCAAATCCTGTTTACACATCTTCAAGACAACCCCCACATTCCGATTGACCAAAACACTTCTTAAAAAGACTAATTTCTCACCTGTTCCTTGCAAGAAAATAAACCCGATCACCATTAGGACCGGATGCCAGTTGAATTCGGCCGGACCTCCATCCCAGGCTAGACCCTCTCTAAAGTGAAGAACCCATCTTAGCACGAATATTATGGAGACCAACCCAGCGGCCGCGGCGACAGACAGAACCACCAGGAAATGTTTGAAGTTCTCCATCGCCATCAGAGCTGCAGCACCGAGCAGCTGCTTCACAAATACAACAACTTCAAGTGGCTTCTGGTGAGGAGGGACCTCGGTCACATGACCCCGAGCTGAGGACGTGAATGGAGGAAACACGTTTTATAAGTTTGGTGGTTTCAGAAGAGTTCCAGCAGTGTCTGACTAGTTGAAGAAAATCGCTGTATCATTCTCTGACCAAAACACTGATGATTCACCTCAGCGTAGGATGTTTTTTGAGCAATGTTTTTGACTCACACACTGCTGCGTTTGAGTAACACGTGTCTTACAATATCTTTGAGTTTCTATAATATTGTATTTCACTTCCTCTGACTTCTTTGGATCATAGGCTGCTGTCCAGAAACGATGGTGATAATGAAAGTCATAGCCGTAATTTCCCAATCGAGATAACCATTTTGTTGTTAGAATGGAGGTTTTTTTAAACGGGAAAAAAAAAGTTCAGTAAACTGGAAAGCTATGCTGATGTAAGGACTCTTGGTTGGTACCACCCATCAGTGGCGTTTTCTCCTGGAGGCCAAGGGAAGCCAGGCTTCCCCTGTTTTTTCGGATTGTAGTTATAATTTTAATAAATAAATAAAAAGACTTCGTTTAGTTTCGGAAATTCTTTGTTGTGTGTTGCTGCCGGCCCGTCTCTCCCCCATTCTCATTGAGTATTTTACAAAGAGTGAAACAGCGCCCCTCTAGATGTTATGGTGAAACAGTAGATTGCAGTCTCTGTTGCGAGAGGAGGCCAGCCGAAATTTGCTTCACTTG